TTCAAGCGCATTGACACTGTATGGTCACGTGCATACTAGCAGCCTTGCGATTGAGCAAAGCTGTTGGTCTGAACAAGCCTTTAAAGTATACAAATGTCATCGACCCATTACAAGTATACAGTAAATGAAAGTCAGAAGAACTTACCTCTGTATGTCTTCCAGCTCAGTGACTGAGAAAATAGTGAAGCTAAAGCTATTGCATGATAGCCAAGCAACTAAGATTTTTAGAAGGAGGGCAGTAATGACAGTGTTTATTGTTCTCATGACATGACAGATATGTGTGCCTTCATTGAAATAACATCAGTTTCAGTATCTTTTTTACATGTTGCAGGTGAAGATCCAGAAACCCGGAGAATGAGAACAGTAAAGAATATAGCAGATCTTAGGCAAAATCTGGAAGAAACCATGTCAAGTTTACGGGGGACTCAGATAAGTCACAGGTATGTAGGTCTGGTCCATATGTTAAAGCTTTACATATTATTTGTTGTATGTGGAAACCAAAGTCAACTAATTTAATGAATTGTTAAAAGAAACTGACGGTGATGGAGATATGTATCTAGACTGCTTTTTCTAACCTGCTTCTGAATATTCTAGTTGCCTGGCTGGAATTTATAATCCATGTGGTTTCTGTACTTTTATACCCACTGACCTGGAACAAATATACATCAAGCAAACTCAAAATCTCATCTAAGCAATTGTTCCAGGTCAGTGATAGAAAACACTTTGAAGTCAGAAAACCAGCCAGGCAACTAGCATTTTAAGAAAGATAAGTTAGCAATGGCAACCTTCATATTTCTCTCTCCTTCTAATGCATGCTAATCAGTAATTTAGGGTTTTTACAAAGGTTTCATGCCTTTTAACTTACTTGATTCAGTAACAAGGGATCTAAGATAATCTGAAGCTACTTTGTGGTGCTTAACAAATCTCATATACAGGTATTCCTCACTTAACGACCGAGTTTCGAGTTCCTACGGCCAGGTCATTAAACGAATTGGTCGTTAAGTGAGGAACTCTATACAGTACTGTACTGCATTAGTACAGTACTGTATAGCGTTGCAGATGTACAGTACCGAACAGTGTACTGTACATCGGGCAATGAAAATACTTACCGGGACCCGCAGTGAAGATCGGAGGACATCACTTCCGCCGGCGACACGTCGCGCTGACGCGCAAGGTCGGAGTTCGATCGGCGGTTCGTCGTAAGTGCGAGTGGTCGCAAAGCAGGTACGTTGGTAAGTGAGGAATGTCTGTACTGAAAATAAGTGTCACAGTTTGTAAAATTAAGCTTTCATTTTATTAGGCATTACAAGACTCAAACAGCCAAATGTATGACTTCCAGAGGCAGAGGCATGATGGGATTTGTAATTTCACCACAGCTGGGAGACAAAGTTTTGGTACCCTTGTCCTAGACCAGCGGTTCTCAACCTGTGGGTCGGGACCCCTTCGGGGGTCGAATTACAATTTGCCAGGGGTCGCCGGGAGTCTCCCGCTATTAGACAGCGGCTCCCGGCTGCCCGGGAGAGAAACACTTTCTCCCAGAAAGGTTTAATCTGCTCGATCAAGCAGAGTAAACCTTTCGCTGCAATCGTTTTTTTTATTTATTTCTGACATCGGAGCCCCGGAATGCATAGCTAGATTCCTATTGGCTATTTCACTTTGCAATAGCAAACTAGCTATTGCAGCCGCCCACTGCTGCTGTCAATCAGCAGAGGGGGACCTGCAGTTCTCCATCAGGTCCCCATCTAGGTATTATCATCATTATTATTAATAATAAAAGCTGACACCCTCGGCTTGTGTTATATGGTTTGCCATTTTAGCTGTTACAACAGCGGTTCTCAACCTGCGGGTCGCTTTGTGATTTCTGCTGTGCTAGGTGAGAGTCCTCCTCAGCCCTCTCCTAGCGCAGCAGTGTCAGTTCTCCCGCCACGCCACCAGATGTCGCTGCAGCAGCAGCGTCTTTCCTAAATTTTACCTTTGGGGGTCACCACTACTTGGCAAATGTTACCAAGGGGTCCCGGCTCTAGAAAGGTTGAGAACCACTGTCCTAGACCATAGCAACAACAGGTGGACAGCTGCAACTTTATCTCAGCAAGCTTAGAGGAAGTGCTAGCAAAGCACATCTTGTTGGGTCCCATGAGTAGGACAAGAAAGAAATGCATGGCCTGGATCAGCGTAATATTTATAGGAGTGGGGTCCTATGAGGTTGAAGTTGGGGCAGATACACCCAATCCTATGCTGCCGTGGTACTTGTCAGGAAAACTACTTTTAGTTCCTGGTGACGTCTGGTAGGATCCCCACGGTGCAGTGCATGACCTCTTATAGTCCTCTATCTACTTTTGCTATTTACAGTCAAAAGTAGTTGTGTACACAGTCCTCATATATGGGCCGGTTCACACCACAGAGAGTGTGTTCCAGAGCATTCGGCCTCTGGAACGCGCTGGAATGCAACCCAGACGTCTCCCTGCATGGAGGCGCTCCTTTTGCTTCCTTCTTACATATCTGGGATAGTTAATGTAGGGGATGAAGATTGGTTGGATTTCAATCCAGGTATTTTCAGTGCAGGGCTTAGGGGTTTTGCATAGGTCTCCTTCAGATCTACTTACATGGTTATTTATGTTTTATTGTTTTTATTTTGTTTTTTAATCCTGAACAATTATTGGTTCTATAAGATACAGCTTCTAAAGGCATGATACTTATTAAAGCTGAACTCCAGCCAAACAGCTAAACACACAGATGAAAAGGATACTATATAATGAAGTTCCTTTCCCTTCCAAAGGTTTTTTATTTCTGTCTATCCAGTCGTTAGATTTACACAGCTCTGACACACAGCACAGCCCTGTCTGGCATGGCAGGAGACTTGATTTTTATTTGCTATAGTTCAGGAAAACACTCAGGTCTTGTCCCTACCTCCAGGGCCGGTGCTAGGATTTTTGCCAACACAGGCAAAGTTAAATTTTTGCCCTCACCCTGCAGCGCCCTTAGGCGGCCGCCTGACTTGCCTTGCGGTAGCGCCGGGCCTGCCTACCTCAACCTGTGACTGGGCAGTAAAAGGAGACGCAGTAGACTGATAAGCATGTCTCTCTGTCACTCTACTCTTTTCTTTTACAATTACAATACAATTCAAGACAAGATGGTATGGAGGGCCCTGCCCGTGAGGGCTTACAATCTAAAAGGGAGGGGCAAGTGATACATGAGGAGGTAGCTGTATGTGGATATATTGTTTGAGAACCTATTGATTGAGTGGTTAGTTTGGGGTGGGATAGCCTTCCCTGAACAGATGAGTCTTTAGGGATTGCCTAAAAGTAGTCAGAGTAGGAGATAGATGGACAGGTTAGGGTAAATAGTTCCAGAGGATGGGAGAGACTCTAAAGAAGTCCTGAAGGTGAGCATGGGAGGAGTTGACAAGGGAACTGGAAAGCAGGGGTCTTTGGAAGAGCGGAAGGGGCGGTTAGGGTGATACTTTGAGACAAGGTTGGAGATATATCCGGGGGCAGAGTTGTGGATAGCTTTGTAAGTGGTTGTTAATATTTAGAATTTTATCCTTTGGGCTATTGGAAGCCAGTGCAGGGATTGACAGAGGGGGGTTGCAGACACTGAGTGGTTGGTTAGGTGGATGAGTCTAGCAGCAGCATTCATGATTGACTGAAGGGGGGATAGCCTGTGTAGAGGTAAGCCAATGAGGAGAGAGTTGCAATAGTCAAGACGAGATATAACAAGTGAGTGGATGAGTAGCTTTGCGGTTTCATTGCTTAAGAAGGGGCATATTTTGGAGGTGTTACGAATGTGAATGCGGCAGGATTTGGATGTGGGGCAGAAAGGTGAAGTCTGAGTCCAGGATGACACCTAGCACCTTGGCATGGGGGGAGGGATGGATAGTTGTGTTCAATCCCAAGGGAAAAGTTGGGGGAAGGTGCACGGGCAGGAGGAAATATCATGAGCTCAGTTTTTGAAAGATTGATTATAAGAAATGTTGTGACATCCAGACGGATATGTCACTTAGTAGATTAGTGACACGCTAGGACACTGAGGGGTGAGTTGTGGAGTAGAAAGATATATTTGAATGTCATTGGCATAGAGATAGTACTTGAAGCCATGTGAGGTTATTAACTGACCAAGGGAGGAGGTGTAGATAGAGAAGAGAAGGGGTCCAAGGACAGAGCCTTGGTGGGAATGATTAAAGTTTACTTTAATCCCCATTAATCACAATGTTGAGATTTTTTTTACAGCAATTTTGAGGGACCTAATTAGAATGATTGTTAGAAGCATCCTAAAAAATGATTAGACCATGCTTGGACTGGCCCCCAATTTCAGATAAGCTAAGGCATGGCTGTATGAATCTTAGCTGCACAATCTTCCCTAGAATATGCACAGTCCGCTACAGACATGGAAAGATTAACCACTAAAATTAGTCAGTCCTGGAAAAGTGAGTTTTCAGCAACCTTTGTTTAATACCATCTCTGATACGAAGAAATGGATCCATCACCATCAGTGAGTGCTACCTAACCACCATTGCCACTACGTACACGTACTCTTTCAATATGTAATCACATTTATTAATTTTCTATTTATGTCAGGCAGCATGCTATCCACTTGCTCCTTCTGCTAATGCTGCAAAAAGATAAAAAAAGATAAAAGAAATAACTTCTGTGCCTGTAAGTTCCTGCTTGTTATAACCCTATGATGCAGGCCTGTAAATAAAATAAAATAAAAACTTTTGTGTGCAAACTTCTATCTATCTATCTATCTATCTATCTATCTATCTATCTATCTATCTATCTATCTATCTATCTATCTATCTATCTATCTATCTATCTATCTATCATTGCCCTTAGTAACATTGTTTTGGTTTTGGTTTTTGGGGCAAACATATTATAGCACACAGTATTATTCATACTGTATTTTATTATATTTCCTCTCCCTTTCCTATCCAACAGTACACTTGAGACAACATTTGATAGTACGGTAACAACTGAAGTGAGTGGAAGAAGTTTGCCAAGTTTGCCAAGTCGATCATCTGCAGTTACATGGAGACTTGGACAGTCTAGCCCAAGGCTTCAGGCAGGTGATGCCCCCTCTTTTGTTGGTGCTTTCCCTCGAAGTAACGCTGGACGCCTTATCCATACTGACCCATCACGGTTCATGTATACCACCCCTCTTCGACGTGCTGCTGTTTCTCGCCTTGCAAACCTATCACAAGTAGAGATTTGTGAGAAGGGAAATCATGATCTGGACATGTCCTCGGAAGTGGATGTGGGAGGCTATATGAGTGATGGTGACATACTTGGAAAAAGCTTGAGAACCGATGACATAAATAGTGGGTGAGTGACTCGTATAATTCTATGCATAGCAATCAATTATAAAAATATTTACATATTATATCATGCTACAGACAGCATATTAAAGATGTCATAGCTTGTACTATCAATTTGTTTATGTTGCATTAATATGAATTCTGTGCATGTGTTCTGCAAAATCATTTTGTTTGCCCTAAATTAAATAATTTAGTAAGAATTTGAGTTGAAAGGCAGAGACAGCTTCGGGGAATATCTGTTTCTTACAGGACTCTTATATGTGGTATTTAAAATAAATCATATACATTTGAGTCCTTCCATATTTATTGCCAAAAGTCAAAAGTTTCAGATTAAAAATGAAACTAGACTACAGACTTAAGCACAAGTGTACCTTTGTAAACTTAGAGTATATCTAAAGCCAAAAGTTTTAATTTAATTTTTAATAAAGTAATGGTTTAAATCCTTGTTATTTTTTTGCCATGTGCATCCCATTGGGGAGATTTCTCTTCCTTTCACTCCTGTTCTTTACAGAACAGACAGCGGAAAACTCTCCCCTCTTAAACAGTTGTCACTGAAACGGGTGTCCCCATTGGAGGCTTTGTCCTGATAACTAACCACTGTCCACTTGAACAAATAAAAAGTTAATCTCTCCCTAGAGGGGGCACCGACAGCCATAAACACATGACAGGGTATCTAATGCTCACTCTATCCAAAACTCAAAATTAATTTTTGGCTTTATACACACTACAAAAATTACCCTGTATTTCAAACAAATTGGGGTTTGTGGGTCATATATGGACATCATTGAGAACAAGTGTTTCACGCTACTGCCTTGCATTAAAATTATTCTAGGTTCAATTCCAACTTGGAATACAATCTGTTTTCCTACCACAGTGCAAAACATAATGGTAGGTAAAGTGGCATCTAGATTTAATTTTCTACTTGGTCATGACTGGTCCCTAGCCCTTTCATCCATAGGAAAACAGCTACTCTTTCCATTCTTCAAATCCTTGTAAAAGTTATTTATGTATGCAGTTGCAAAACTGTAAAATGTGAGGAAAAGACCATAATTTTTAGTTGCTGACACAAGTAATTATTACTATTTGAACATGCATTTGCAAAATGTTTCATATTGAATGGTTTCTTTCAAGCTATGAATCTGGAATGGAATGATGCTATGTTAATCTCCCTTCACTTTAATATTTCCCCAGACACCATGGAAATGTTTCATACTTACGTTTTCTGGCATCACAGTAAATTTCCTTGATAATTTTCTGACAACTTCTTAGCTCGGTAAAGGGGATTTATCTTGCTTTAAATGTTCATCCTCTTTCATTTGCAATTCCTTATTGGCTCTTATTCCATTTTTTAATCCCTTAACTTATTTATATTATCACCTAATTAAAGCATTTTCCTAGCTGTTTTAACATGATAAACAGAGGATTTGGATTCTAAAAAAATTAGCTTTAATTCCACTGAGCTTTGTTTCATTATTTGCATAACACTAACTCTGACCTAATGGCACATTCATCAAAATGTCCATGTAAATGTTTAGACTGTATTCGTTATGGAATAAATATATTTAAAGTTAAACAATGTAAAGTGTATTGTATTGGAGAGTACAGATAGATTGAATTAGCCAGGGTCTTGTTGCTGATGACCAATGGTCATTGGAACGCTGTTTATTAAACTGGCTATGATTGATCAAGCTGCGGTAGTACTGGTGCTAAAGCAGCTTCTCGAACCAAAATTCCCTATAGATCACCAGCACTGTGCCCAAGATGTTTGCTCTGCCATTAAAACACAGATTTATTGAATATACCGTGTTTCCCCGAAAATAAGACACTGTCTTATATTTTTTGCGCTCAAAAAAACACACTAGGTCTTATTTTTGGGGTAGGTCTTTTTTTTTTTTTATGTACAACATTCCACACTTATTCATGTACAAAAATATGGTGATCAGGGCAATCAGGGGTGTCGTACCTTTCCGAGAGCAATTTTCTAACCAATCGCTGGCCAGAATGAGCGAAGCACACTTTCACTATCGATTCCTCACAGGTGGAGTGCATTTGGTATCACTCCGCCTGTGACAGGAGAAGGAGCTATAGAGGAAGCAACGGCTTATGCGGCTCTGCTCCCTCCAGTGCCCCCTCGCTCCCTCTAGCGCTGGCTTCGTTGGCACCACTGATTCTCGACCGCGGCTCTTCAAGTTCCCCCTTTTGCCACCACCGGCCCTTGAAATGGTCACAACTAGGTCTTATTTTCAGGGTAGGTCTTATATTTTAGCAATTCCTAAAAATAGTACTAGGTTTTATTTTCGGTGTAGGTCTTATTTTCGGGGAAACAGGGTAGATGTTTGGTTATTGTCTAGTTATTATGTATGTAAATTCAAATTGTTTTTAGTTTTGGATAGAGTTTGGGCTCATTCTCACCACACATAAAAACAGAAAACACAATGCGCAGTTAAGTGCATGGACATGCGTGTTGTACTGTGTTTTATTGTGCATTGAACTATATTATTAAATGTGGTTTTCTATACAGACCACATCAAAGCTAAAATTACTAACTTTTTTGATAAACATGTTACATTTTACACACACTACTGTGGTGTGAATGAGGCACATACAGTAGACAGCAAAGTGTCCCTGCATCAATGCAGCTCAACACACCTGGTGTGAAGGGGCCCTAAGAATTAGTCTAGATCCCCCTTTTTTTTCTGTCTGTGTATTATCAGGAAGTTTTCCTCTCACTTCCTGTCCCAGAGGACAGGAAGTAAGAGGAGACCTCTCCAAAGTGAACGAATATTCCCTCATAGACAGTTGTCACCAAAACAGGTCTACCCATTGGAAGATTTCCCCTCACTTGTTAATGTGACAATACAAAATGTTGGAGAGAATGATCACCGTGTCCAATAATGAGAGTGAATCTCCTCAGTAGGAATACAGACACCCATAAAATCCAGATGTTTTAATTCTTCCCAAAAATAGTTTGGGACATATATACAATTTGAGGAAGATGCCATAGGAGAAAAATGATCATGCTCCATAAAGCCACAATAAATATCTAATAAATATAAAGTATTTCACTTTGTCACTTTATGTCAATTATATTGTGTATGGAAACAAGCCATGCTACAAAGACAATTTCCTTTTGATCTGTTATTTCTTCTTTATTTCCTAGGTATTTAACAGATGGCGGACTTAACCTGTATACCAGAAGTCTTAACCGGATACCAGATCTTGCATTGTCTCGTGATATCATTCACAGAGGAGTGCACGATGTTGCTGTAGACGTTGACAGGTAATTAAGCAAAATGTTATGTTTGAGGCCTATTTAGATCTATACATGTGCATAGAGAAGAATTTAGAGTGCATATGCATGATAATGTATGGTAATGTATGTTATATGCATTTTGATGTTGCCATTGCTGCCATTGACTTCTGTGGGCCTCTCAATGCACTATAATTCAGAAAACATGGTCTTGTCATGATCTTGTCTAGCCTTCTTGTAATGAACTAAATTTCGCTAAATACTGCCCCCCTTGCCCTCTAAAATAAGACAAAAAGGTAGATAATTTTTTTCCTAAGCAGCTAAGAGTTTTGTTTCAGAAAAACTGTAGCAATGGTGAAATTGATAATTTTACAGCAAGGTCAAGTTTGCCAAAATACTTTCTTTCATCCTTAAATATGACTGATTTTACTGTCTATTCTGAATAGCAATGCTTTTGGATCAAGATTTTCTCTCTAAAAAGGCAAGGTGATAACCAACCTAAAGTGGCAAAGTAGATGTATCCCTATTACATAGTTACATTTGGAAAAAAAGACACAGGTTCATCCAATCCAACCTATGTGTTTGTCTAATTAGGTTATCTATTTTAAGAGTATACATATTCCTGTATGTTGTGCTCATTGAGGAAGACATCTAGAAGTTTTTTGAATTTGTCAATGCTCCCAGCTGGGAAAGGGCGATCCACATTTTTGCAGTGTAAAGAACCCCCTCCACAATTTTAGCTTAAACTTCCATTTTTCTAATCTTAAACTGTGCCCATGACTCCTCTTTGTGGACCTAAGATTAAGCAAGGCGTTACCGCCCTTATAGTTGCCATTCATTTATTTGTAGTTTGCGACCATGTCTCCTTTCAAGTGTCTCCTCTCTAAAGTAAGAAGGTTTAGATTACCTAATCTTACTTGTAGCTGAGACACTTGCCACCTTATTAAATTTGTTGCCCTTCATTGACCCTTTCCAATTCAAGGACATTTAACTACAGTATATATCTAACTTTTAACTTTTGTAAGGTTTGTGCACTTTTAAATGCAAATTCTGTAGAATTATTTCTCTCAACTTGATTTAGTTATCTTAAAAATTCTAATGATACCTGGAAAACATTAAGGATTTTACAGGGAGGTATTTTAACCTCCATTGAAATAATACTTACTCATTTTCTGCACGAGTTCTTTAAACATATGGCAGTGATTTAAATATTTTGGCAGTGTGTACTATTCTGATATCTGCATCAAAAACATCATGCCACACATCAGTTGTAACATTCATCTTGCTTTCAGTTTTTTTTCTTTTTGCAATAGATGTCTGGCCCAGTTGTGATTAGCAGTTCTCTGAAAATTGAAATGCCATCTAGTGATTTGTTTGGTGTCACAGAGATATTTACAATTGCTTCATCACAGAAATAAATATTGTAGAAGAAATTACATTCAGCAGCTAGATTTCAAAACATAGAGCTGCTTCAAAAAGAATAACATTTATGATTTACAAACAAAATGACATTTCATTCACATTTATTTGTTTTGTGAAACAATAACTACAGTATGAATCATTACAGCAACCTACATATCACCCTATACAGTAGTCAGCTCTCTATGTGAACTTATATTCCTTCCAACCTAATTTAAGATATTTCTATATGCTTTGATATCAAGAAGATTTTTGAATAAGATAATAGCAGTGATGATGTACTAGTAACCTACAGCAACCAGCAACACCAGATTATCTATTCACTTATCTGACTCCAGAAGCTTTGTTTAATAGGTCTACAAGTCTATATTATTTTGGTAGCCATGGCTAGCTTCTTGCTTTTCAGTACTGCCCAACTTTGCAGTGATTACAATGATAGTGTCATGCTCCCCAGTGTATTCTCCCAAAGAAAATGAACAGATAATTAAGGATTCAGCTACAAGAAAGGGCACTTTTAACGGCAATGACCTTGTGGAACAAGACAGAGATGCAAACTACTGCAGGTAAATCTTGTAGTCTAAAGATAATTGAAAGCTGAAGGTGAAATAATCCAACAGGATCTACTTGAAATATTACGTTTGGGTGCAGTTGGACTTCCAAGCTCATTCCTTAGTCATAGAAGTTATTTTAGTTGGCACAGTTATCCCAGTACATTCTACGTGCAAGCCTCTCTTACCGGAAAGTTGTATATCCCAGGCATTTTGGACGGTTAATACTTCATATGGCTTTGTGGCTGCAAAGTGGTAGATATAGTCTGTGCAGTTAATCAATATTTCACATATATACTTTGTTCATGAAACATTTTACTGTATTTATCTTGCTCCCCCAAAAAGTGTATGCCTCGGTTCATAATGCTGAGATAGCTTGAGAAATCACATCTCTGTTTCCCAGTTTCTCATTTTGTTGATGGATTGTTGGTTTTCTTAGAAGGGATAATGATGCTTTGTTATGACTTGACTGGCGTTGTTTCACTTCCTTATATTGTGGTTTAATAGAAAAGTTTCTTTTGGATAGAAGAACAAAGTTAATTTGTGCAATCTGTTTTAAATCTGATCTAGTTTCAAGAATATATTTATCATCTAACCAGTAGTTTTGAAAGCAGTCCTTTTATGTGCTTTCTACAGTGAGTGAGATTTTAGTTTGAAATCAGATTCCTAAAATGAGGTTTGGTTTTTGAACAAGCCCTGTAAGACACTTATGGATTTATATATTTAATCCAAGAGAAGGTCAATTCTCTACAAAAACTGTCATTAAGGCCTGTCAGGGTTCCTATATGATGGTGTCCTTATCAAAATAAGTGTGCCACAAGCAAGATTTATGTTACTAGTCATCTTTACACTCATTCCCACAGTCATTATGATGATTGTCCGCGTTCCCTGTGTTTTAACCTAAGCTCAAACAGTGACCGAGCCAGACCACAAGAAAGGATTTCTCAACAATCCAATCTAGTGATCATCTGTATCTGGGACTGTTCCCACAAATGAGCATTTATGTTTGATGTCATGTCCAAAGTTTTAACGGTTTGTTATTTGTGAATATATCTTATATGACTAGGTTACATACATTGTGTGTGGTGGTGATATGTTTGAAAGTCAATACTTTGGGTTGTATCTGCCAACTTGAATGAAACATTTAGGAAGAAAAGTAAACAAGGGGTCATGGGGAGGTGATGGGAGGTAGGAGTATTTAGGGTTTATGATATGTTCTTAATGTTTTATCAACAAGAGTCAGAATGGTTTTTCCCATTCTAAGGCTTCATTTGTGTATTAGGCCTTTCCCCCTTTATTTTCATCCTGCTTAAAATATAATCCCTATCCTGGGGTGACAATGCACACTTATTGTACTGTATTTATTGAGAAGCAGCATTGTCACCATGAGACAGGAGGTGTATTAGGACTTAAACACATTTTTCTATATACAGTATATTGATATTTTACAGAAAATAGAGGTGAAAATAAGATCCTAGTTGGGTATTTGTTTACATACACGTTAACAATACACTATAGACAAAGACTTTCTACTACTTCCCTAATGAGCCTTTATGGAACAGCGTGCTCTGTGGCAACAAGGAATTACACAGACAGTAGTTTAAAGTAGAGTACCTAAAGCTCAAAAGAGGGTAGGCTGCATTGCAAGCATGATCTGATCACCCTTTTGCACCTAAAGTCAGATGATCATGTGCAAGGACAATAATACTTGGTGTGGATGCAGATGGATGTAGTCATCTGTAGAAAGCACATGCACCAGCTTATATCAAGGATAATAATACCACTTGGACAAGATTTTCTAACCTATTGGATTGCTTAGCTCCCAAGAAGTGATCAGAAATTTCTGCAGTTATTCATATAGATTAGATTTTTGCTGGCAAGTGACATGTTTGAAGGCTGCCATGACTATGGGTACCTGTTGATGTCTTGCCAAGAAAGACAGGCTGTGAGATATGCACATCCTTGAAAACAATATTAACATGCATCTTGGACAATGAAAAGAAGTGAGACACACTTTTGATCCCTCTCTAAAATAATATGTGTGTTATAATGAGCCCATGTTACAAACAGGTTGCTCATTGTAGTTCTCTACAGACTGATCCTTGTCCAAACATCACATTGGGCCACTTATGGAGGATCGAAGGACAAGCAGAAAAAAATTAAAGAGAATTTTGTTTTTTAAACAACCAAACTATGATCAGACTCTTGTAGGTCACATGTATATATCTATGGAGAAGGATTTGGAGACAGCAAAGGAGTACCCCAAGGACTGGGGGTGTACATATTTTAATAAATTATGTAAAAAAAAAAATATATCACCATATGTTTGACTATATGTTGGTTTATTTTTCACTTATATGAGTATATGATTCACCTAGACCTGGGTTCAGAGAGCAGAGGAACTACAGTTATGTCTAGTTATTACTGTTACCCTTCTTGTTTGGGGGTAATTGTTTGGATTGCTGTATGTTTCTAAGATATTTTATTAGTTTGTATTCTATTTTAGCTTTCCTATATGTGGGTACCATATGTCTTTAATGAACAGCTGTACAAAAGACATTTATCAATGTCTAAATAGATTAAGGCAGTTTCCACTGTGTACTAAAATGTGACTCTTTAGCGTTTGGTAGTTATAACTATCTTGCATTTATTTCTACATATGTGCACTGTAGGAGCCAGATAAATATTTATTAACATTATGTTTTATGTTTGCTTGTTATCCTGAAACCTATAAAATGACGGTGCAGAATTATTTTAGAATGATTGAATGCAGTCCAAAATATATTTTAAAAGTTTGTTTATGGAATGTTGCACTTGCTTTGATGTGTTGTAATATATTGACATGAGTGTTAAACACTGCTTATAGTTTAGATATACACATGGTACAGATTTTGGGAAAGTTTGTGTTCTCCAAGTACTGGACTCATTGTGAACTCAGTTATGGCTAGCCTGCAGGCAGTGTGTCAACATTCATTGAAATACCTGGTATGTTATCAGAAGGAAATGTACATTGTATATCTTATTCTTGTATTATTTACATTGTGACATCCTATTAGTAGGCAT